ACTTTCATCAAGAATCGTTCGTACCCGCTATTGTTGGTTTAAATTCAGCCGAAGGAGGGTTGTTTGTTGCCGGTGAGTTAAATTGAAACTAATACAGTGAATTTCTCTATAACGGAATCGCATGGGACCAAACATTTTTCCGTTATTAATAGTTTTCCATCATAGAGAGGTAGAAATCGCATATATTATTTGCACTGAGACTATTGGCATTTTCCGTTTAATAGAGGGTCGTCATCTGTAATCACATTTATTAAATAGGTACTTGAATGAAATTTTAAATTTGCTGAMCCATAATACTAAAAAAATAAAGATTTGATAAGATAAAAAAATCGTTCGGAATTATTTGGTCTAATAGAATATTGTATTAAACATTGATGATTCATGTAATATATAATATATATTTTAGTAGAATTTATAAAAATAATAATAACACTTAATTAAATAMAATTTTATTTCCACAGCTCTGTACAACGATACGTCATTAATTCATCCAGAACTTCGTACGGACTTTAGTCGTTTGATATCGATAATGTTGAATTATAATTATTACACAGAACCTGAGAACATTAACGAAATTGGAGAAAAAGTGCTTGAAAAATATTTCCCATCTGGAGGTATGGATGATCATACGCATGYTAATGCTGTTAAAGTAGGTACAATATAATCAATAATATATTTAAGACCTAAAATTACTTTATTACCATTCTATATAGTTAATCGATTTATTTCTGTAATTTAGATGTTCACCGATTCAGGTTTTACAGAATGCATTCTTGATATGGCATATAAATTGTCATCTCCTGTGTATAGTTATTTGTATAACTATCAAAATGAATTTTCTTATAATAAAGCATTTGGTTCATGTGAGAGACCCTTAGGAGTCACTCACGGCGATGAACTAAATAGTATTTTCAAAATGAATAGCTTAAATTCAGATGATTTAAACGCAAAAGATCTCGAAGTTTCAAATTTAATTATTAATATTTGGTATAAATTCATTACATCTGAGTAAGTATATTTACATGAATTTTAAT